AAACAATAAAAATCTGTGGTTCCAGATGGTGTTGTAAATTCTGCATTTGCGGTATTAAAGACATTTGAGTGCTGTGCTCTTCAAAGTTTATTTCTACGCGTGGTTCTCATTATGTGAACACTTTCTCTTTTCGTGCTTGAGTGACTTTTGTTGCGACATCGAAAATGGTTACAGACCAAAATGGTAATGGTTCTGATTCTGAAGGTTGTATGCAGTTGATTCCGAGTCAGAATGTGATAATTACAGGAGCGTATAATGGTATACCGCAGACCTTGATTCTCAACTTGATAGCATGGTCTTGTTTGATTATATTGTTTACGGTGCTGCGGCGAACTGCTTGGAACTATGGGCGGATGGCACTAGTGCAGCGCTCCAAGAGCAGGTGGACGAATTTGTTCTACAGAGGAGGAGATGGTGACGCTCTTGTTGACCGTAGACAGAACTCCGACGAGCCTGTAAACATAGATGAAGGATTCTTCACGTGGTTGCCGGCCGTGTTCCGCCTCACTCGTGAGCAAATCCTCGTAAAATGCGGTCCCGATGCGGTCCATTATCTCTCTTTCCAAAGACATGCCATTACTCTTATGTTCATTGTGACCCTTGTTGCGATAGGCATTATTCTTCCTATTAACTTCCAAGGCACTATGAATTTGGACGCAAGCACATTCAGCAGGACAACTCTGTCGAATTTAAATGGCAAGTCAGATTATCTGTGGGTGCATACTATACTAAGTATTGCATTTCTGCCAATATCAGTATTGATAATGAGAAGATGCACTGGCAGGAAACCTGTGCCTACATCACTAACAGGCACTATTATGATTAGTAATATTCCCAGAGCAGACAGGAATGAGTCAACGATAAGAGCATACTTTGCTCAGAACTTCCCTCACATACAAATTGTTGACCTACGTCTCGCCTACAATATTAATAAACTGAATGATGTCATTGAAAAGAAGGAAATGGTTACCGAAGCTCTTGTTTATTCAGATACATATTTCAAGAAAACTGGAAAAAGGATTACAGTGAAGCCAACTTTATGTGGACCAGAAATTGATGCCTTGGATTACTACAGTGCGGAAGAAAAGAAGCTGAGAGATGAAGCTAAGAGGTGTAGAGCTATTGTACTTAATGATCCTCTAGGTGTTGCTTTCTTAACTTTACCATCTTATCAATTAGCAGACCATGTCATCAATCATTTCACTCTCCACCGTGGTTGGGTGTTGTCTCATGCTACTAACCCTGCTGACATTATTTGGGAAAACTTGAGTGTTCAGCCTAGCGTATGGTATTTGAAAGCCATTGTGATAAATTTCTTCCTCTTCATTGTTCTGTTCTTCTTAACTACGCCGGCCATTGTGGTGAATCTTTTTAACACTATTGTAGTAAAACCCGACTCGCAGAGTCTTGGAAAGGTCAGCACTGTAATCTTTGAATTTCTTCCAACTTTGCTCCTCTGGACAATGGCTGCCGTGATGCCCGCCATAGTGGCTTTTACAGACAAATTTTTATCACATTGGACAAAGTCTCAACAGAACTATTCTATTATGACAAAGACGGTGTCTTTCTTGTTACTGATGACCTTAATCTTGCCATCATTAGGGCTTGCTAGTGCAGAGGCTTTCGTGAGATGGACGCTGCATCACGATAACGACACAATGCGCTGGGATTGCGTATTCCTTCCTGATAAAGGAGCATTCTTTGTCAATTATGTAATTACTTCAGGTTTCATTGGTACCGCGCTTGAATTAATACGTTTTCCTGAACTGTTTCTTTATGTTTGGTATCTGCTTCAATCGAAATCGAAAGCGGAAAAGAGTTACGTAAAGAAAGCGATTCTTTACGAATTTCCATTCGGAGTGCATTATGCCTGGAGTATAGCGATATTCTGTATTACGTTAGTCTACAGTCTCGCTTGCCCATTGATTGCGCCATTTGGCCTGCTGTACTTGATTTTGAAGCATGTGGGCGACAAACACAATTTGTACTTTGCGTACGGTCCCAGTGATATGAGTGGGGTGGGCGGCGGCAGGATACACGCAACGGCCGTAAGATTGATGCGGGTAGCGGTATTGCTATTGTTAGTGACCATGGCCGCTTGGGCAGGCCTGAGAGCTGGGTTCGTGGCCCGAACTATAATCTTAATTATGGCGTCTATTGTTGCTTTCGGGACGTTCTTGTTACTAAGTCCTTTCCCGAGTTGCACTCCGCCAGCTCCTTTACAAGAGGAATCAAATATCAGATCGCCGTCATATGTGGCTCCTGTTTTGACGAAGCCTATAGAGTCGCCACCCAGTTCGACACCTACAACGCCTGATTACGGCGCCTCTTCACCTACGGATCATGGGTATTCTCCAGATTCTATCAACATATAAAGTGATGATTGGCGAAATATATATCTCACATTTTTGTTCATAGTTATACCTATCGCGTGACAAACTACGGTTTATCAATGACGCTGTTAATAATTCCGGTATCAATTGAATGATGCTTATTGGATAAGGTGTTTATTATACTTGTAAATAAAAGTAATGCAATATTTTTTACAACAAATTAATATATTGTTAGATATTTAGGATTTTTTGTGCGGTCACCGCTTCATTACGTCATCACTTTAAATATGACAACACTCCTTAGACCAAGGGCAATAGGTAGCTAATATTTGGAATAATTCAATTAGTTGAATCGTTTACGTAGTCATCACTTATGCTCGCGGTACATCTCAGAACCTGTTTATTGACGCATTTGATGTACATCTCATGTCTATTAACAAGTGAGTGTCTTAACAACCAAGCGCACCTTGAGATGTTTGTCCCGACGGACAATAACATTATAAACGAAACGGGGCTAGGCGAGTACTGTGGAGGCGCGTGAATGACTCATCTAAACGCTTGTTACGTTATGTTTTACTCAGTTTCGCATATGACATTTCAGACGTTGCCTAATATTCTTTGTGATTTTTTTTACGATGGCTGTCTATAGTTTTATTGTCTTATTTATTTGTATAATAACTTATTGATGTTAATTCCATTTTTAACTGTTCCAACTAGCGTTGTTTTGGAAAACGCGCAGTACAATCAACGTTGCTACTAAGCGCTTTATCTTAATGTAACAAACTAGTTAATCGACCGTTAATGTATTTGGGTTGGATATCATTTCCTGTTACCTAGTAATTACGAGATTATCAAATATTTAGTTCTCGTGGAATCATTTTTAGCGCATCTTTCTGCTGTTAATATGGTATAGTGAGTTTTAAGTTTTAGTCCGAAAATTGATCTGAACTTTGGCAGTTGAAAGCATATACAGTAGCTGTTATACGAAGATAACATTGCGTGTTTAAGAATCGATTGTAATTTACAATCGAAAAATTAATGTCTTTCATAAATCGCAAAGCCGCGTGGATCAAGAACAAAAGGTTGTTTTTAATTATAAAACCTATAACGTCTGTAACGTCTTTAACGTTACAGGCGTGTTTTACGCAGAGGTTCGAAAGCTTTCTAGATTTATGTCGCTTTAAAATTAATATACCAATATCACAATGTAGTTTCTTTTCTTTAGCTAAATTAAAATTAATAAAATGTTTATGTCATGCAAATTACACTTGAAATCGTTATATTGATTAACTACAATTAGGTACACTTATTCTTATGGCACATTCCCAAAAAAAATTAGTAAGCAACTCTAGGGCTCAATTTATATTGCGTAGTCGCTAGAAAGCTCGCGAGTGCTCAAGCATTCCAGGGACTGCGCGCGTTTTCGCGCAAATAATGTAAATTGAGCCTAGGGGTCGCTCTTTGTAAGTAGACATTTGTTCATATATTTATTATTTACAATATTTATTTCCAATATCATACATAGAAACAATGCGAAAGAGTTATATTTGTTTACTACCATGATTTTTTGTCATCCAAGTACACAGGCACTATATAAACGTGATATAAAGTTTTTAACCTTTAATATAAAGTTTTTGTTTCATTACAGTTTTAAACCTCTCGTAAGAATCTTAATTTCTTTATACTTATCTCAGAGACACTCTGGGGCCCAGTTTATTGTCATGTGAAAAGTGTTTTGTTTATCGTTTATCACTTATTTCTAATAGCCTTATCACACTCGCGATTTGCGAGTGGTTTGAAAGCGATGCGATAGCGTGGCGTGCTCGCTCGCCAATCGCCAATGTGATAAGGCTTTAAGTCTTCGAATTCTGTTTGGATCAAGTACTATGGTTTTTAAAACACAGAATAGATGTAGTCACATGGTTCGTGAATAATTTCTGCCTGAACGTGCACACCTGGTTTATACTTAAATCCATGAAACTTTATGCATTTTAACAATGTTTAATAAGACATAAACCTGAGGTAAATAATAGAAATAAAATTGACTGATATTTACTGTTATTGGGGCATAGCCTTGAAAATAGTTATAGGGTTTATTGGATAACAGTGCGTAAGTAGGTACGGCACGCTTAATGAGATAACTAGTGGCAACTTGTACGCGTAAAAACTAAATTAGTGTGAAGTTTACACTCTCTTTCTACAGTATCTAGATAGTTTATTAGCAGCTCAAATTTTCGTTTTCTTTGTCCGAACTATCGGATAAAACTTTACGCTCTATCAGATAACAGTTTATCTAGATAAAAAAAATGCACGTTCCATGTGATCCATCACAAACATAGCTTAGTGATTGTTCTTGTTCAAAGTTTAAAAAATGCAAGAGTTATATTCCCGTTCATTATATGAATTACGTACGTCTTGTTTCAATTTGCCACACGTTGTTTACCTACTTATGCAGTGTCTGTTTTAGTACGCAAAGTCCTTGTTATCGTACAAGTGCGATGATATTTTATCAATAACAATATTTATTATGCTTCAGAAACAATACTGCAAAATCTTCCATAGTCCTTCAAAATACTCAAAATAGGTAGTGATATATTTGGTTAATTATGATTGGATACCAATCATAATTATCAATCACGAAGTAACCTCATTATTTTACATTGTTCACCGTTGTGTCCTGACATGTCATGTCTCAAATATTCCGCTTTAGATGATTATTTATCACGATTCACTCGTCGACATAGGCTACCCCCATTATGAATAATTTAATACGTGGTAGCCTTATTAAATGCAATGTACAAAGTGTCTGGAAAAAGAAGGGAAAATACTACTTTTTAATTCTTATTTATCTCCAAACTGGATTAAACCTACCTCCTATCACAATAATGCTGTAATTTATTGTCCAACTCCAGTCATTTTCTTATGAGCAAATGAAATTATTATCGTTTTTTACAAGCCTTAATATAATTAAATACGATCGTTACGTAGCAAAGAAAGAGTGCCTAAAATACCGAACTAAAGACCCAGTTTCACCAAACGTCTAGCTAAATTGATAATTAAAATTTGCTTGAATGCATTCTCTTTGAATACTTGTGCTTGAAAACACAATGGTTTCACTTAAGAAACAAGTTGTCGTGTTTCCTATTTTCGTTCTATTTTGAACAATGCCCAAGTTCAATTGCTCAAGCTAAAGCTAAAGAATTTTCTGTCTAAAACATGCCAAATCGTTCAATGGAGACGCTAATTTTGTGAAGGCCGGCCTGTTGATTTTTATAATTCGAATAGCTTTACAGCTCTCGGTGAACTTGAACGTAAAGAAGTTCAGCTAAAACTGAAATATGAACGTTATTTATTAGTCGTCCGTATAAAATTTCCAAGAAACCCAGGCGGTAGGAACCCATTGTGGTTTTCCTATTAATTTTCTATCTAACCCATTTATATTTAATACTTTTTTTTAAGTAAGAGGAGCTATTAGGTGATAGTGCTCCGTGTACCTCTAATAAAAAGATTAAGGATTGTTTCGCGCAGGGCGTTCATACTTGATACAAGCAGGCGGTCGATTGTGGCACAGCATTGACATAAAATTGTTTATTTACGCCAGCATTAACATCTTTTGTTTCCTTTGCCTTTGATTGAAATACTGGAAGCAATTTACACACGCTGCATTGTTAGCCTTTTATAGGAACGTGAATGACCGGAACGTGTACAGTAATGGAAATTTGAAATAATCGTACTGCACCTAATGTATTTTACAATCAATATTGCGAGTTCCAGTATTTGTAGTTCATATAGGTATTGTCGGATGCGCGGACGTGGATTTACTGTGCTTCTATTTTCTCAATGTCTCTCGGCAACCATCGGATTTCCGAATGTACACGAATATTAATTTCCATACCCATTAATTAATAGATTTAAAATCTATAATAATTTCAATTTTGAACAAAGTACTTTATTGTTCTTTTGTTTTGATTTCCGTGTGAACTATATACATATAGCTGTAAAACTACTGTAACAAAGGCAAAGGGCAACTGAATAAAACCCGACGACGGCCGATAAGTTTGCTGATGGACATTGAAAAAATAGAAGCACTGTACAAATATTTGCTTGTGATTTCTCCTTGTTTATGTATATATACGTGTGTGTACCTTTTTAATCACAATTACACATTTAAGTGCATCTACAGCAAAGAAATGAAGACGCAAAAACGTATAAGTTTTTTTCTTTGAGTCTACATCACATTGCTTCTTTTACTCTACATCACATTATTTCTTTGTACCGCATTGCTTCTTTTCTTATACATCCCGCATTTTCGAAGTGAATTGTTTATACATACATCGCAAAGTATGCTGGGAAGTTACATGACAAGAAATACAAAGAATATATTCAATAAGAACTAAGTTCCTGCTTCTTCCCTAAGATGCGCGGTCATCCGTTCTGACTGTAAAATTCTGTTCAAATATCATTCTCTTATTTTGGGATCAAGTCGACTCATCCGAAGAACAGAGTCCGATGTGATTGTACAGGGAAGAGAGAATAAGTACGTTACGAGAATAATTTCCTTATTCAAATTAAGGCCTACGTTTAAGGTGTTTTGAGAATTTGTATATCTTATTTCATTTCGGAAATATTAAATCGAGCGAAACGGTCGATCTGACATCCACAGCGAAAAAGAACGAACGAAATGTAGTATGTCCTTAGAACAAGTAGTCTTGCACATAGATCTTTGTTCTACGGATGAGTCGAAGTATTAACTAACTCTAAGAATACGATTCCAGTGAACATGAACAAATTATTTATAATATATTGTATACACACTGCACTAATCTAATCACGTAGTCGATAATTATAGGCAGATACCACCGCACCGTACAAAGCTGGGAGTTTGCTTTTGTTCTCCGTTCGAAACAATTAGAGTCCCCGCACACTACAGACTTTCTGTCCGCCGATAGTTTAGTCGGGTCCTTAATCAGTTAGAAGATGTATGCAAGTGCGCACATTATAACGATTCGGTATCGACCGATAAAAAAGTTTGATGTATGTACTACCCCATTGCCTTCAAACTTTTCTGTCGGCAAACTCGGCCGACTGCTAATCACTACGGCGCTCTTCCAATCGCGCACATTTGCCGATCTTTTAGTCGGCCGACTTGGGCGATAGCTTCACTTGATGTTATAAAAAAAAACTACGCTCGGAGCGACTGTCGTGTTATGATGGCAATTGACATGTTGATTGAAACTGCTCATTTGATAACAGGCAAAAATTTTTTTGCGAAGTCTAATCCTTGTAATAATCTATCACTGTAGATGGGATGGTTTCTTTTCTGGACCCTTTTCCTCCGTTGTATAAAAGGAATAATAACATTTTTAGACAATTTAATTTTCCTTCGAGAGCATCTTACCAACTAGCAAAATTTTTCGAGAGAAATCTGCCGACAGTTTGCTAGTATTACCAACCAGACTGTTTAGTCGGCTCAGTGTGCGCGCTAGCAGCCCAACTCCACTAAACTATTGACCGATTAAAAGTCTGCGGTCTGCGGGGGCTCTAACCTACTGTCAAATAATTAATAATCGACCGAATTAGAAGGCGTACCTATGATGTGAATGAAGCTTCATACTCTTCGTACGTCTTTTAATTTGATCGAGTGTTTCTTCGAACGGATGTCTGACGGAGAACGAGAGTACAGGGGCTGGACATAGCGCTTTATCGGTTTGTAGAAAATTGTAACTGACTTTAATATGTAAAGGTGGATGAAATACTTTCACACATTTCTCATTAACAAGCACATAGAAAAATTCGTACCGTCCGCTGGTTTGTTCCGTGGCATAGTTGGTATAGCGTCTGGCACGGTATGCTAGAAGACGTCGGTTCGAGTCCAGCCGGATGGAAGAATTTTTTCTGAGTGTTCGATCTTTGTATTAATAATTATAACAAATTAGTGGAGTAATTTCACAATAAAAATAATTGAATATCAATTAAATAAAAATTTAACTTTAATATTCTGCGTCTCGGCGCATTTTCGTTACACGATAATTAACGAAAAAATACTATCGGTTCTTTGAAACCACTTCCATGGCAGAGTACGGATGTTCACAGAAAAACCGCGGGAAGTGATGATAAAAAAGGTGTACGCATCCTGAATGTTTTTATTGCGTTTAAATTCCGCATTTGTTTCATTAATTTATGAAAATGATGCTTTAATCCAGCTCATTGCGTTTAAAATTCCAATAGAAAGTACATTACTATTTGTCACTTCATGAAACTTTAACAGCTTCACATGGAAATGTATTTCATTATTTGGTTTTCGTTTGATATGAATCATTGCCAGATGGTGCTCTACTTCGTGTTATATGATTAAACAATATATTATTGTAACCCAGTTACATGTACACTTAAAACTGTACAAATATGAACTTGTATAGCCTAATTACCATTCGTAGATTAATTTGGTATTTCTGTATCTAGTTTAATTATTAGGAATATTTCATGTGGATCCATTCATTAATATGTTATTTACATAGTTCTATTCAGATTTTCTTGTTCCATGTTGTAATGTGAATAATGAATTTTGGTCAACATTGTGAATTACGTCCATTAGTGTTGTAACTATGAAATAGATTTTGGTCTTCGAAATTGTAAAGACTGATAGGGAAGACCCATCTGACGTTTATCCTTTTAAACATACCTACTTACATCGATTATTACACTGAGTAGTATACTTAGTTGTTGCTAAACGACCGCGTAATACACTGGCGAAATGGTTTTTTTAGACAAATGGCGAGATTTTGTAATTACAGTTTTCAGACAAATAAATTTTAAGTATTATTACGTTATGCGTTTCTTAATTATTTTTTATCTGATTAAGCTGATGACTATAGCCAATACTCAATATTAATGAATTATAACAATAATGAGCAAAAACAAGACGAATATTTTATAATGGCATGGTTAAAAAATTAAATGTCCGTGCGGTTATTGTTACTAGCTATAATAACTATAAACAAGAAAAGAAATTTTTCTTTTCAAATGTTGTATTATCTATGGTCATTTTCGAAATTGTTTAGCGCTCATTTTAAGTTGAAGGACAGAACGTACTGACACCCATAAAATTACTTATAGGAATACTTTATATTGGCGTAATCCTAAAACGACACTGCTAATAAGTAAAAAGAAGAATGGGCGGGAAACTTTTTAAGTCTAAAATTCATGAAAAACACTGTCACTGTAAATTCACTATAAAATAGGCACAGATGTGAAAGGTCTCGTCTATATCTGGTACTATTGTGCCCCTTCCTTATCTTTGATATCCTCAAAGTAAAAGGACAAATATTAATTGAAGCTATACCAAGTGTAATTTAATAACTGTCAAAAATATCGAGCACCCTAACATTTTAGGTTTCCGCTATCAAATGTCGCGTTGTGAGGAAGGTTGGTTTTACGCCCAGTGGCTTCTATAATACAAATAAACAGGTGTGATATTCCGTACTGGCATGGTTGGATTTAACCGCTATGTCCTAGCTTAGGGTGCATGATGCCAGCGGCGCTCAACATCAGGAAACACTGTAGTAACTAGGAGCGCTGCAAATATCTTGATCATGTTCAATACAAGGCGATTGATAATATTGATGCTTGATGTTCAACAGTACGGAGGTAATCATAATCAAATGTATTTGTGGCCATCTTTGAACTCATATGTGAGCTACTGTTTTAAAGTACGTACTTACCGTACTTATAGTAATATTTTAAAGTAAAATCTCATGTAATAACATAATGTATAGCATTCCTTCACCTTTCTGGCAATGCTTTGTTGTTCCTCTGTTTTTTTTCATCCTCTAAGGTTTTTGTTAGGGTTGCGCACAGACCACATTCTTCCGTGGGGTGCGGGTAGCTGAAATATTTTGAACAGGCTAACAACACGTCTGTTTAGCTTCGGCGTAGTTTTGTAAATATCAAAAAGAGGGCGCTCTGTTCAATTACACTTTTTAAATCTCATACTTAATATAACATCTATTTTATATCTATGGTTGTAGACTAAACCTGCCCTTCAGAAGATGTTAGCTAATAACATAAACAAATGTTAATGATAGATATGTATTATTATTTACTATGTAACTTATTTGCAACTTTCTGAACATTTAATTGATAAATTCTCTCTGTACCTTGCACCAAAAAGTTAAGACCGACAATTTATGAGTGTAATATTTGTACATCATTAATTTTAAATAAATTGTTTTTTAAAAAAAGCTTGTTTATTCTTTGTCTAAATAGCACTTGGACGTTTTCATCAAGTTTCTATGCATGGGACTTGTCTACATATGTCTCAGGGTGTCAGGCGCAGTGGCAGTGCCGCAGATCTTTGCGATTTAAAGCTCTGAGTGGCACTGGAACTGTTATGGAGAGGCGTGTAGCTTACCATCAGGTGCACGACTTATTCGTCCCGGAACTTGATATTATAAAAAAAAATTATGTTTCAATATAGTATAGCAACTTTCAAGAAAATCATTAAGGGAAAATTCTTTAATACAAAATTGCGGAGGTTACAACTACATGTTGTTCTCCGCCATTGGTAGAAGCCTTCTTCTACCAACGGCCATAATCCATATGTTGTTAGAAGGTAGTATAGGTAATATGCAGTAAAAGTATGTGGTATTTTTACCGTTTTTACGTAGTAGCAGTAGAGCTCCTTGTGAAAGAGTTCGACCAGTGAAGTTACCACTTTACCTATTTCTGCCGCCAAACAGTAATGTTAGCATTACTGTGTTCTGGTTTTTGAAGGGTGCTGGTGAAATTACAGGCACATGGGACTTGTGAACTTATGTGAGGCGACGGGCGCAGTGGCAGTGCCCTTCAGATCTTTGCGATTCAAAGCTTTGATTGGCATTGCAACTGTAATGGACAGGCGTGTAGCTTACCACCAGGCCCACCACTTGTTCGTCCCGTCTCTTGATATTATAAAAAAAAAAAAATTTTATACGGCCCTAGGGCGACAAGTATTTTCATTTATTTTTACATTTCGCGACTCCACTAGGAGTGCAGACAAACTGTCGCCGGCTTGGCCGCCGCCTCCGCCACGCGCCGTGACACCAAAAAGCCGTGGACTTTTTGATTTCGTTTATCAAAACTAGTGTCAATACAGTCGACTTTTATTTATCATTTGAATGATACCATACGCTTAATTTGAAAAGATTTTAAGTTTCATTCATACATAAAGTATAAGTGTTTAGAAAAAATGACAAGATTTTATTCTGAGATATATGCAATTTTGTGAGTATAACATGACCAATTAAGTCTAATTTCCTTTTTTTAACTTCCTAGCAAGACTGATGAAAAACATTGTACGCGCAGAACACTAATACTCACAAGGAGATTGTATACCACATGGATGGAAGAGCAATTACCTTGCAACACAATTAAAAACATTCAGGTCATCCTTCGCATTCGCTTTGAATTTTTGATATCCCTCTGTTCGTAATTATTTACCGCCCTTGGGAAACAATATTAGGTACTATATTAGCTTTGATTATCTAATCAAGTTAAGACTGCACAGTTTTAACTATGAACATAATTGTAATAAATAAACAGAAATGATTAATAATAAAAAGGAAAAAAAAGTTGTTGATACTTTATTGTTCGCATAAATTATTAACAATGTAAAATGGACCAATGAATGTGAACAAATCGTCCCTTACAACCCTAATCGATGTAACTTACAATTTTGATGAAAATTAATTTACACTAAAACATTGGTCACGAAATTGTGCTTGTAAATAACTTTTATCTTTCAAAATGTTAAGTAACGTTCGTGGCAAAGGGAACGAAACAAGTGATGATTTGTTAATCACTGCTAATGTGGTATGCATTGCTAATTTGTAAATATGATACAACAGCTTACATACGCCATAAATAATGCATGACTCTTGTGGATGGAGAATCGTAATGTAACTTTTGTGTATAATTACTATTCTACAGCAACTTATATTGAAACTATATACATACGTAACAAAACATATTTATTATTAAAATTTATATTCCCATAAAAAACAAAGTACTCCGAGTGCAATTAAATAATTAAATCTATTCACTGAATTACAACAAAAAATTAGCATTGCAGTGTACAGTAGTAATTTATAATTCAGTCTGACAATGGAGGAGTTGGAACCATTTTTTCGGATCTAAATCGTGTATATTTCTTTGTTTTTCAAACAAAATAACATTTTTGATCACCGAGATTGTATTGGTCATGAAACAACTGTCTAATATTAATGCAAACCGTCATATTGTACTTCTTGAACTACAGACACAAAAATAATTTTACATTAAAATTATCTTATCTAGTAAGGTAGTCAAGAACCAATTATTTAGATCTGAAAAAATTGTTTACTTCCAGTGTATAGCAATTGAGAAAACCTAAGAACAATGTATATATCAGTCTGACAACATTCAATTCTCTCAAAAATCTAAAAATATACAAGGATATTTTACTATTATAAAATATCATTTTGAACAAACAGATCATGCTATAACAAAAAATAAATGCATAAAACATTAGCAAATGATATCCTAACTAAATTAACTACCTAATGTGTTTTTTTAGGCTTAGCTAGTTTTTCATATTTGCTCTTTGATGAGTACCAAAGCCCGAAAGGAATGGCCAGAGATGGAAGGGTCATGACTGCAAAAGCGGCCCAATCAAGAATGTGTGATGAGAATTTCCGGTCATAATCTTTGTAGGCTACAATTGCTCCTTCACCTGGAGAACTACTGAAGGCATATTGCACCTGGAACAAGTTTGGAATATACATTTAATAGACAGCAAATTAAGAATTAAATATAAGTTGTAAATATTTGAGGCTAATTTTTTTTAGTTTGTTTCATGACTGGATTAAAGAAATAATTTTTGTTGCTGCTTATTTGCTTTTTTGTATTTTTATGTAGTGTCGTAAGATTTAAAAGAACATAATAGATCAATACTATATTATAAAATAATAGCAGTAATAATAATAATGCATACACTCATAGTCCCACACTACGGAAACCCTGTATTGCGTGTGGCATCGACACACACATAGAAAACCACAAATTACGCCCAATCTCACGATAGAAATAAATGTAGGCTATACAAATATTTCTCCCAGCCTGGGAATCGAACCTGCGTCCTCAGCATGGCAGTCCGTCCATGGTAACCATTCGGCCATGGAGGCAGTTGAAGCAAGTGACACCAAACTACATTTAACATTACATTTTTACTCTTAACTTGCGGAAGTTAATTAGCCATCCATAAGAACCGGAAATAGGTCCGTCTTGGATCTGCGAATGTGGCAACAGAAGGGTTAACTGTACCATTTTAACCATAGCTTTATATTGAATTTTGATTTATATTTAAATTAAAGATATTATATTTAAATTGAATTTGTATTGAAACATTTGATAAACTTGGTGGTCCCATGTTTGCACTATGGGCACTAGATGAGGAGGTCCCGGGTATGATTCTCAGTAGAACCAATTTGGGAAATTTTTTTGTAAATTCGTGCTAGACTGGGTGTTCCAAGTAATGCCCAGTTCAGTTTTCGTTGTGCACTATATGAGGAGGAGTCCCAGTAAGACTAATTTGGGAATTAAGTTCTGGCTCTTAACCGCTCACGCGATACATGCAGCCGTAGACGCATACCACACCTAGAGGTGCCGGTGATGATTTTATACCGATTTATCAGATATCGAAGTTATAATAGGTAAAAGACCTAATACTAATTGCTATTTCGGTAACTACTTTAGCAAACCATAAAGTTTTTAATGCCTGGGTCTGTCATTTAAAAAAAATAAACAACTTCAAAAATATGTCACGACAATCATGTGTGTTATTGTTTGGGCTGGTGATTTCGGTGTTCATTTATTGAAAACATACCGTAAGTAGCGTTTTTTAAGTTTACCCTGAATATAAATGTTTATAAACTATACTTTAAGGAGTAATTTCATGGTAAACATTAGAACCACTCAAACGGAATATTATCATATTTATCCAAGTACACCAAAAATTTCATTAGTGCTTTTTAAGTGCAGGATTTACGGTGTATTACTGCATTTTATTTGAGATGTTTTTGTTGGTAGTACAGAGGGTATTTATTTAGCAATGCAGAATAATAATTTTTATTTGTAAAAACTTGTATTTAAACTGAATGCTTTTCTAATTTGCGAAACCAAATAGCCGCCATTTTGCAGTAGGAGGAGCGCATCGGGTGAGTGGTTAAGGGTGAGTGAGTGTTCACCTGAGTGGATTCATCATGGGTGTATTCTGGTACACATAGTACAGGGAATTTCCTAGTTTGAAAGCAGGTAACTGGTGTGGTTGTCATATTACATCATTGAACTCACATAACATAGTCTTTTTTTAATTTAACTTGTAACAGCTGTATGGAGCAAAAAATGAACTACTTACTTCAGAAGACTCTTCATTGGGCCTATAAGTGACCTCAGCGGCGGTGAAATTGAAATAGCCATATCTGTTAGATCTGACGGTAACCACATGAGACACATTAGTCTGTGGAGGGATCCTGTCAATTTGAGCTGAGAGCTGTCCACCAACCACAGCAAACACGTCAGGGTGGAAACCATTGTCCACAAGCTTCACATCCACCGCTGGCGCCGTACCAACGTTGTACAGAGTATATTTGACGAGAATGTCTAGGTTCTCAACAAGGTACTTATTCAAGACTTGCTTTGAGATCAAAAGCCTGGCCAGCGCGGGTTCATCGTCAGCCGTCACCACTGCCGCAACGATGAGAATCAGTGGCAAAAGTTTGGCAGTCATTTTATCTGAAAAATCAAATAAGAACTTGAGGAAAAGTATTCTAAATCTAGGTTGTAGACTTTGAAATGATTATTGGCAAAATGTAAATGAAAGTCGACACATATCACTGTTTTTAAGAACGTTGATTAACGATATAATAGTTTTACGAATACAACAACAGTTATTACCTTATTCTTTGCCTATTATTCGATGTAATAAACTCGAAAGCAGAAATTATGCGGTGACAGATTTTCGTACGTGGCTGACGTTTCACTCCACGCGTCCGAAATTCTTACCAGTAAAAAATATTGTGTGCTACGACTGCATTCAATTTAAAATGAAAATTGTAATTGTATCAACCATTTTTGGATTCTAAGCTTGTCTCTTTCTATTCTTTAGTATCAAAGTGAGAAAGTAATTGAATAACGTCGATTGGTCAGTGTAGAAACGATGGTTCGATATTTTCTGAACGAGAAGTCCATCTGTCAAAAAATACGTGTTTGTTTTTTACTTCGCGTTTCGCGTTTTCATTTTGCGGAAGATGGATATCCGATATATTTAGTCGGTATTGTTCGAGTTCCGAGTATTCAGTGTGGAGAAGTGTTTTTAGTTTAATCTAGTGATAAAACAAACTATGACAGATAAAGAAGATGGCACCAAAAAACCCGATACAGAACCTCTAGATGATGCAGCTTTAGAAAAGTATGTTTTATGTTTTGCAAGTATTTTAATGCTAATCGATTAGATATCCTTAGAGAGTCATTAACCACGTAAAAAAATATTATTTATTATTTATTTTTCAGACTAGCGGTTGAAGAGCTCATGCGAGAGGCTGTCCAAGGCGCTGCACGAGCCGAAATTGTAGGTCCCTCCGGTTGGATCAAACCGACTCAACAAAAAACCAATAAAAGATTTCTTGTCAACACACTGCGGAGTACAGTGAACTCAAATAAGCATTATAACACGCGAAGCAGCTACCGAAATTCCAACACTCGATCCCCAAAACGCGATCGGCACCCAGAACCTGCAATTAAGAAAGATAGGTCTAAGAAAAAATATTAAAATGTCAGATTATAATATAGATGAATTAATAAAAACTGTCTTTGACATCCGAGATGCCAACTGGAAACCTACAGATAAGATTCCACTCATAAATAAGGAAATAGAACAACTCAAATCTGATTTAAAGACATACTTGAACAATAGTGATTATGATGTGACTGGTATTTTGAAGGAGAGCAAGGAGCTATGTGAGGAGAGCAAAAGATTGACAGAGGACATGAGAACATGCCAACAGGAGATAGAGGAGGAAACAATGGCTGAAATAGTGAAATCTATTGAAAACCATGATGCCCTTGTTAAAGAATTAGAATGCATCAACTTTGCTATAAACATTGTGTTTGATGTTGTGCAATGTGGAAAGTATGTCAAGGAATTTGATGATGGCAGAGATGCACAAAGCTTCACCAGGGCTGTAGAAGCGGTATCTGACTTAATTGAATTCATTGAGAATCCAGCAGATGGTTTTCAGCACCTTGGTCTTTATCACAACACGAAACATGCTGCTCAACTTATACTAGACAGCCTGCTAAATGATTTATCCACAGAATGGAGCCGACTTGCCCACTGGAGTAGCAAAATGTGTACCAAAAAAACCGTAGTTACCATTGTACTTAACTTGGATGACTCTATGGCTGTCATTGATATTCTAAGTGCCCTTAATAAGAGCAAGAAACTTCAGGAGAAAATTAACCTATTCTCTGAATTTTTAATGAAAGAGGTTCTTGTACCTATCATGCTTTTTGATTGCACAGTTTATGCTGAAACAGATGTCCTAATGACTCTTACTATAAACCATGCCAAACAGAATTGTAAACCACCATATGACGCTGTTATTGCCAACTTACGTTTGTTATTCCATTACCTAAGTAACAAGTTAAATATAGAGTTTTGTCGTGGCAATACATTGATGGCGATGATAGGTAAGCAGATCAGTGCTGAATTCAAGGAAACTTTGATTAAAGAGGTCCTCATAGACACTATACCAAACAATATAAATGAGCTGCAGACGTATGGAAGGATAACTGCTGAAATTGAAGACTTTCAGCACTTCCTGGCTTTGGTGAAGATATTTCCTGAGGATAAATTCTCTATACTTGACTATATTGATGACATAGACATTCTATTTGCAAGTAAATCAAGCCAGTATCATTTGGAAACAGCTCGTAATATAATGCTTAAAGATTTGAGTGTGACCATGTCCATTGGTGTTGAGACTATTCCTGAAGATGATGAACTAAGCATTAGTAACTTAATGGATGATGGTGCTGAAGAAGCTTTGAAGATATTGGATAAGACAATACCAAAGAGTTTGTTTTTCTTCCCGCGTTGTATGATCTCAAAGACAGCTCAGGAGTTATTGGATCTAGTGTATGTAATGATGGAGCAAGCAGTTCAGTGTTCTGATCTGGTGTGCAAGAGGCTATACTACACAACCCGCTTGGTTTTTGAGCTGTACGATGCTGTGGTCCCGTATCATCATGAGAAGTATTTGCAGACTATCCCTCATTATGTTGGTGAGTATAACTGTTGAGTTAAATCAGATATGTATGTATATTTTTTTTTGTATGTATGTTACGCGATAACTCCGGTATTTGTGAACCGATTTTCATGATTCTTTTTTAGTTGGAAAGGGAGTATTTCCATAGTGGTCCCATTTCATTTTGAAGAAAATCATCCACCTCAAAGGGTGGCTGTTCACGCATGAAGATTCATTTTTATAAATAGCGCCTAACTTTAATTTAGGAGCAATTACTTTTAGCAATTATTTAGTTGATTTTGCTATTTCTCCAATTCAAAGCGTTTTCTCTCGATATACTTTGAGTAGTGTCATAGTGATAACCTATTTTTATTATCTCCAGTATCAAGTCGTGTATAGTGGCGAACTAGGGGATATTTCAATGAAACTTAGCAAATAGACGTAATTTTACGTACTTTTGAGGTCGGTTTTTTTAGTACTTTGTACTGAGATTATATAAAAATATATTTTATCCAAAGGTACCCAAGCACACACAAGTCTCTTGTTTGATTCTTTCCATAAATTGAATTGATTTGTTTTGCAAAAAAATTGTCTAAATACACTTTCTCTTTAACTCCAGCCATTTACTGATATAGTGCAGACACAACAATAATTTCTAAAATTTCGGAATCCCTCAATCATATCCATAGTTAGCATGATGTTTAAGGTTAGTGATACAAAGTAGCTCTGTCTACTCCGATCACTATTTGTTATTTATAATAACAATAATGAGCGACCCCATATGTGTTGCTAACATTGAAGAAAGTTTTCTTCTGAAATTACTACGAAATTTTCATTATATGTGCCAGACCAAAAAATCATCATTAGTAGGCTTAGCCAGTGAAGAAATCGAGACATCTCATGCACAGTGCATAGGAGCACTGCACAGAACTTATATCACTTTCAAATACCATTAACAATTATTTACAAAAGTTTTTTATTTACAATCACTTATTGTACCTTTTTAGCTCTCTTCCATAATAACTGCATGTACCTAGCCCACAATCTTCAGACTTTTGGTGACAAATGGTTGATTCTCATGGAGGGGCGCGAGGTGGACTACGCGATTAGCTTTGTCGACCTCGTACAAAAGCTGAGGGACCTTGGCTATAAGCACATGACTGCTCACATGCAGCAGCAGAGGAAACAGATTCTTGATAATATACGCTCTTCTGGTGAGTTTTTTGATCTTTTCATCTTGTATCTTTGAAGCCCCAAGGCATGCTGCACATATATTCTAGTGCCAGCATGTTTCATTTGGAGAAGTAATATCTTCAAATGCCATCAACAAACACATTATCTGATTTCTGACTCACATATTTTTAACTTAAAAGTAATTTTTTAAATTACTTGATGGAGTAAATGCAACAGAAAATTAAACATATAAAAAGTAGTCTCTGCTAATTGGGCAATCTTTAAAAGAAACACGATTCTCGTGCATCCATAATCTTGTAAATACTGAAGAATACTTATGTGCTCTGAATTGGTGGTACAAATAGTCACATAAATCTACGGACCGTCAATGCCAATGGAATTAGTTGTTTAAAATGCCGCAACTTGGCATAGGTCCATGGATGCATATGTATACAATTTCCAGATCTGAATTGCATCGTAGTCAAAGACGTGTTGGGCGAAAACGCCGAAGCAGCCATTCGCCAGTGTCTACGTCAGCTGCATCTTCTCAGAAACGTTTGGATAGGCGTCTTCCCAAACAATGTTTTCACTAGGTAATATTTTACTAAAGTAATTTTTAAATCTTTTTTTATTACTTATGTGTATCAAAATATCGTTTTCACTTCGAGAGATGTACGAGCGGGAGATATTGCGAAATGCGGTCGAACAAAAATCCGTTGCCCACCATATCGAATTTGTAACGAGAAATCCGCGAGTAAATGGTCATCATTCATGAAAGTATTACAAATGACGAAATGTTTAACACCCCACTGAGGCTTCTTTTATTGAATGGTCAATTTTATAGTGTACATAGCAACAGTTAATTTATTTTAGTAATACATTTATTATATTTAATTGGAATTAGAAAGCAAATTGCCAGACAAATCGAAATTTATGAGATTTTTGAGGCTATATATTCGACCTTTAGTCGAGGGCCATAATGAGAATGCCCCCGGGAGGCGGGTTACGTACCTACTGCTGCTGCTGTAGAAGAATTTCTTTATCCTTTGAGCTATAATATTGTGACACTGAAAATATTAAATTAATGATTTTATTCTTATCGAGTTCTTAGGTTTTCGCGATTGTTATACATAGGAATGAAACTATTTTTCCGGATTTAAATCGCGTATATTTGTTTTTTCAAACAAACCGACGTTTCGGGCCCTTTACAGGTCCCATGGTCACGGTTGACTGATTTTATTCTTCTATTATATTCTATTCTTGACGCTATTTCATCAACAATATAAAATTATTACGATTGTGACTTGAGTTAATGGTCTATAAAGCGCTGAGGCGTCATTAAGGTAGTTTTCCACCGGCGAGGCGAGACGAGGATTGATAGTAGTATGGCAAAATTTCCAATTCTCTCCTAGCGCATCATCGGTGGAAATGGTCTGGACTGATGAGAATGGGCGAAACGAGAATTGAAATTATTTGTTGATGTAATATGGAATCGTATTGCAATCTACATAGATTATTATACTCCGCAATGGAAACACGGATTCTCGCGCGAGCTCACGAGTCGTACATAGCCAACGATCGCGAGATTGTGGACTATGTACGTTTTGATTAAAAAAATGGTGGCTTCATCTTATTCTTCTTCCGTTAACATATTTGATAATGATACTTTATGGACATGTTACTTCAGCCGCGTGCTTTTTGCTAGACGAACTGAACAGCACTTAGGGCCGTATTCCAGAACTTTACTCAATGCTCAAGTCAGGATTGCAATTGAAACACAAGCACTGGAAATACGGCCCTAATGGCAGGGACTTGAGTATGATTTCGAGTGCTTTAAACCATACTCAAATCCTGACTTGAGCATTGAGTAGAGTTCTAGAATACGACCATGAATCTCCACTATTCAACCCCAACGCGAGCTCGCGCGAGCTATAAATGACAATTTCTGGTGCTAATAGGCAGGCGAGATTCAATTCTCGTTTTGCCTCGCCTCGCCTCACCTCACATGTGGAAAAACCAACTTTATACATGGAGATTGTAATTTTCATTGTTACTGTGTTCGTATTTTTACCTGGAATCGAAATCAGTCGTTGAAAATACCGATCAATGGTTACAACATTATTAAAAACAAATGTTTGAGCATGTAACTATTTATCAAACGTTACGAAGTAATTAATGCAGTAATTGCATTTTATTTTGGAATTCACGGAAAAATAGTGCTTGAATGTGTTCTGTCGTATAATATAACTTTGCAATAAAATTAATATTATCTTTTTTAAAACGCTATAACTTCATGATTACTATTTATTTATTGTTTCGTTGATTTCATTCAATGTTTTATTGCATCGTTCTTCTTACATGTCAAAACGGGCCTAATAGGCATTGTAACAACTATAATTGTTTTCACGTTACTAACTTAGCTCTGCCATATTATTATTTTACGCTATCGAACAAGGGATTTTCTGCAGGTTGAAGGCATTCTCTGATTTCGGCAGTCAAATAATAAACATATTTTTTTTAAATTTTGCAGGTTGATGGCGACTCTAGTGAACATGTTCGTGGACGAGCTGATTCACCGTGTGTGCACGGTGGAGGATATCTCGGCCGAGATGGCCCAGCAGCTCAGTGACATGTACACCCTCGTCATGTACAAAGCACCACATCTCTTCCAGGTATTTATTACAAAATATTTTTTTTAAATGGGAACTTATAAGTTCCACGTCGCCACTTGAGGCAAAAGCTGGTTCGAGTCCATAGGAATTTTTCTTTGTGTTTGTATCAATAATAATGGAAACGCACAGTTTAGTGGAGAATAGTAGCTTCTTGGTTAAGATGTGGATTATTATTTTTAAGTTACAGAAACTTTAATAGCAACACCTCTCTCTATGCAGATAATGGTCTCCATAGGATAGTGCCTAGCAGTAGGGCGCATAATTGGTTGATGGTGACGATCATCAATACATGTCGTTTCATATGTCCTGCCTAGTGTTGGGTCGTAGAAAAATGTCGATTTTGAAAAAAATCACATTTTTTAGAAAAATATATATATTTCCGAACATCTTTTTTTTTTTTTTTCTTATTCAGGGACAAACAGTTACACACATATAAAAAAATACATATTTTAAAATTAACTTATAAATAAACCCATAGTTCCCTAAATATACATTAAATAAAACAAAAAGTAGGTAAACAGACAATCTGATACACAATAAACAACACGGAAGAAATAAAAGTATGTATGTGGTCTATGATAAACAATTTCAAATTATGAATAGATATAGCCACAGACATATAGACATAACACATACAACACAAAGAACTCGTGCACAGGAACAACGGAACAGAACAAACATATTCATCAATATGCGTATTTCGTCTTGCGAACACTGCAAGAGTGCACACAGAGGTAACTCGCTGCGCTCAGGACCGGTCGTGTCATTACGTAACGGAACACAAGTCGTAATTGAATTGAAAAATAATTATTAACAATGCATTGAGTGAGAAAAAATAATGTTAAATAAAAAGAAGTCTTCTAACCATGAGAGTTTTTCTAACTATCCGCACTTGATCTTCATTACTTATTTATGCACTAGGGTTGTCACTAGACCGACACACAACACTCACGACATCCGGCGATTTCTCGGGCGATACTTGATGTCGTTTACATTTGCTGACAACAGCTTAAAACCGTCTTCCCGGTTGAAATTACGGTGTTTTTTAATGTCAACAGCTTCACGTATGATTCTACTATAGTGATGACGTTCTATAGAAAGGGTCTTGGGATTATGAAGCTCAATCCAGTGGTTTGACCTGATTCCAGCAAATGCTCGTCTATTGCAAACTTATTGAGCTGACGGTTTTTAACAGCCGCGATGTGTTCTTTGACTCTTTCCGCTATGGTGCATTTTGTCTGCCTAATATAGGAACTCCCACAAATGCAATCAATCTTGCAAATGCCCGCAAACAGAAAGGGGACTTACATCCTTAGGTGATCTCACATGCCCCGCGACCTTAGATAACGGCGTAAACAAAGTTATTTAGTTAGTATTTTTTTAGTACTGTACCGATTTTGTCCGTCACTCCTTTCATGTAAGGCATGAACGCTGGTTGCCTTAAAACGTCAGGACGTTTCCCTTTAGCTTTCCGCCGTGATCCATGCACGTAGCAATACGTCCGAAACGTCAAGGTAATTAAAATATGTTTTATACGTGATTAAGTCCCGAATTAAACATTAAATAATATCAATGAGATTATTACCATTAAATAGTTCATTTAATTATTTACTTTTTGTAGTCTTCACTAGCCAAGAAAAAGCGGGATGCCGAGGATAACTTGGTTCTAGCAATAAAGATGATCGATTTAATTTATTTTTTAGGCTAAATTTATGTAGACAGAGCTGTAACTGAAGAACATCTTGTTTTATTTTTAGCTTCATATTTTCCAATAAAATAGATTATTTTCACATTTTTAGTTCAATAAGGCCCAATACCATATTTTCTAAAAAAATAAGTATATTCTTCTGATGTGGAGATACCAAACGTCATTTTATGTATATGTGCAAAGTTGAAAACTTTCAAACCTGTTATTTATCTCAGAAAGTTCATACTTTTTGCTGGCCTTAATACTCCAATACTGTTTAATAAGGTCCACAACGGTAGTTTTATAAATATTGAATATCTTAATTGTGGTTTAAGACATTTATTTCTCAAAACAGAATACAAACATCCACTTACAATGAGAAATACTAGATAAATAAGCTTACTATAACGAACGAGCACCGGAATAGTTATATGTATATTATGTCAGAACAAATTCACGTTTTCACAATGCTGTTGCTTAGACTTAAAATTTATGTTTTGAAATAACCATGCTAGACATACATGAACAATAAGAAGAGTTTTTTTATGTAGGTAATCAGAAATATTTTATTTGTACAACAAGGGCTCCATCTGGAGAGTTCACATTACACAAGTTGCTATCAGAGTTAACGATTGAAAGCAATTATTATTGCCTATGGTGGTGAATTATATTTTATAATATGGAAGTTTAGTGTCTTTTTGAATAAAGAGAATGATTGTATTGTTTTGATACGCTTTGGAAGATAGTTATACAATTTGGCACCTTCGTACCGAATATTCTTAGTACCGTAGTTACCGTAGTACCGTAGTAGTAGTAGGCATAAATTATGTGCATTTCTTAATTGTCTGGTTTGAGTTAATCCTTTTAGTAAAAACTATGTGGGAATTAATATCTTTTGTCAGTATCTTTCTTATCAAAATACATGTATGGTAATTGTCTTTTATTTTTTTCCAACTTCTGAGGGTATTATACATTTGTGCAAGTGTCATTAATTTGATTCTGTGAATTATTTCGTCATATTTCTTTAAATTTATGTATTTGTGAAGATACTTAAATAAATGGGGCTTCTGTATTCAGCTTTTCTCGATAGCCTCGTTGTGTGTAAAAGAGTTTTATTTTTTTTTAAATTGGACGTCATTTGCCTTCTCAATTCGACTGTATGTTTTTTTTTGTATGTATGTATGCGATAACTCCGGTTTTTGTGAACCGATTTTCATGATCCTTTTTTTGTTGGAAAGAGGATACCTCCATAGGGTCCCATTTAATTTTGAAGATAATCGACCACCTCTGAAGGTGCATGTTAATGCATGGAGATTCATTTTTATAAATAGCGCCTAAATTTTATTATAAGGAGCAATTATTTTGTTGGTTGATTTGGCTATTCTTCAATTCAAGGCGTTTTTCTCTCAATATACTTTGAGTAGTGAGAACCGATTTTTATTATCTCCTGTGTCAAGTCCCGTATAGTGGCGAACTAGGAGATGAATCTGGATGCATAATTTAACTAACTTATTACATAAAACTTAAACAAACACCTCTGTTGCAAGCCATTTTTATAAAAAGAATTGTTCTCTTTGTTCCTCAGGATGCTGGCGACGTGCAAAAGCACGTCAAGACCTGGGTGAAACTACAAGAGTTGATCTTCGTTCTCGGCGGCTCTCTCAAGGACATAGAATCCCACTGGGGCGAGGGGCAGGGTCCGCTCGCCCGTCACTTTCGCACCGACGAACTGCGTAATCTTATTAAAGCGCTGTTCCAAAATACACAACTTCGCGCTAATTTATTAGCCAAGATCAAATAAATAGACAAATGATACTCTGTATGTTTTATGTTTTCATGTAATAATACGGTGTTCAAAGCGTTTGAAGGGTGTTTTATTTCACAATAATGTTGGTAGAACTTATGTCTTGTACGAGATTTATTTTTATCTATATTCTGAACATCTATTTTCTGTGTCTGGTTTTAGTTCAAATCTGCTGTTCTATATCATACGTACGTACGCTTTTATAAATGTTACTAACGAAATAAACTTGTCGTTTGTATTTATTGTATGCTAGTGCGTCGTTAAGGATGAGGGAAACCAATGAATGGGGTGCACATACTGCTGCACTGTGCTGTCACACATATATATCTGCCGTTAGCTAACTAAAATGCGGTTAAGTGACAAAATATTTTTTTGAAATATAAAAAACCATAACCCAGTTGTAGAATATTGAAGTTGTTTTATGATATTTCAGCTATGCATCGTTAGGGTAAGTTCCGATAAGTCAAACACGTTAACTAATTTTAACTGCTTTCAAAAGAGCATTTTGTGCACTATTTTTTGCTATTTAAAATGGTTATTTGACCATTTGTTACTTAGCCTTGGACGGGAGATATATGTAAACGCAACACAAACATGTAACATGTATTTATAAATATATGTTATTTAAGTGGATAAATTTACATAGAGTAACAATATGGGGGGAGAACACTAAAGTTAAGAGGTTGTTTATGTTAATGGGGCGGGGGAATTTTGGAGGTAGTAAGTTATAAAGCGGAACAGCAATATTAGGGCAATTGAAAAAAATGTGTTCCAAGGTACCGTCTTCTAGACCGCACTCGCACAGAGAGTCATCTCGGACTCTGATTTTACGCAAAAATACAGGGGTGCAAACATGGCCTTTAAAAAACCAGGGTTTAGTGGGTAGATTTGGTTGGAGGTTACCATAGTGTCTACCAACAGTTTGTCGTGATTCCTGCCATAGTTCCGACCAGGAGGCTAGCATTTGGGGTTTGATCATGGCGAGCAGATCTCTGGGAAAGCACTTATGATATTTGCATACGCCAATTCTTGTCGCATCCTTTGCAAAGGCGTCTACTGCTTCGTTGCCACTGATCCCACTGTGACCGGGAATCCAGGCCAGAGTTACCTCAATTCCCGCACAGTGACATCGGTACAGAGCTTCCTTAATTTGGAGGATGATAGAGAAATTGTCTTTGGAATGAAACGGTAGCTTAATAATATCTTGGAGGCAGCTCAGTGAATCTGAGAAAACCAAACATTTATTAATTTTATGGGATTCAATATATAAAATGGCTTCAAGTATTGCGATAGCCTCTCCAGAAAAGACCGAATTCAGGTAGGGGGATTTAAAACTGAGTAAGACATTGAACTTGGGGGACCAAATCGCGGCTCCCATGTCGCCATGTTCGTGTAATTTTGAAGCGTCGTTAAAAACAGTAGCCCAGTCATTTCTCTCAACTATATCGTTGAAGACTTGGTTTACTCCAAGGGTACCTTTCATGGTGCCAAAACTAAGATAGACTGTTGGGCGAAACGTTAAAAATTTAAAATTAGTTTCAAACAATGGGTTCATATAATTTTGGGAAATAGGGAAGGGGAGATTGGAAATTTTGTTAAAACTGTTGATAAGAAGGTTTCTTGTGTGAACAATAATTGGAGGAAGGGATAATCTCCAACAAGGATTGCAATACGGGAATCAAAGGGTGAGAAGAAAATAGAAATTGAAATTTCAATTTTCAACTCGAGTTGACGTGATCGCTCACTCGACTCGTAGTAACGAGAACGATGCGGCGCGGGCGTATATTCATTATGAATTTGAACCCACGATTCACCGCGTTGGACACGATCGGCCGATCGCGACTCGAGCTCGATCCAAAGGTGGCCGTGCCGATCAAGTGAGACGAGTAGCCGATGCGCTGTATGAAATATGAAATTATGAATGGTACATATGTACGTACATACATTACATTTGGCTCAGCGGGGAGTGTACCGAACCGAGGTAGTTCCGAGTTCATAAAAAAGTAGCTCGAGTTGACTAGTCGTGGGAGTAACTCGAGTTAAATAACTCTACTCGCCCATCGCTATCGGTGTGTCGGTGTCATAAATGCCCCTTGTGAGTGAGTAGCACTGTTGCCACATTAGGCGATCATTCGCCATTTAGGCTATCTTGAGGGGTCGCACGGCGACTAAAAAAGTGATCAGCGACTCGGCAATATTTAGGCTATGTTTGAAACAGGAAAAGGCGATTTTATGCTACTTAATAAAATTGGTGAATTAACAAAAGCAAATAAAAAAAAAACGAAATAAATTTTTTTTCAAAAGTCTGGCAATACTGGTGAGTAGTGTTCTGTGCTGCATCGGCTGAAGGACTTTGTTTCCATGGCCAGCAATAAATTAAAAAAAGAAAAGAAAAAAAAGTGTTCTGTGCATACATAAACGTAACCTAAAAATGTCGTAGATTTGGGCTAAAATGTGATAAATCTCTGAATGAAATATAATGAATGCTTTAAGAGTGCTCCTCCGTGGGGGGAGGGCATGCTTACTTTCCAACCGCTGTTATGCCACTAGCAAAAAGAAAATTCACGATCCTAATGAAGAAGAAAGTTTGCCCAGTAAGAATTTAAAAATATTTTACTTTTGTTTAGTGTTTAACATTCGGGTAATTTAATAATCTTAAATTGCCTATATATAGGTGAATAATGTCCAAATTTGCATGTGTTGTTTTTGTATCTTCACTTTGTATTGTCATTTTTGTTTATATAAGAGTGCCTGGTTATATTTTTAACACTTGCCATCCTAGGCCGACATTGCCACCCTAGTATTACAGGCATTATTAATAATTGTATAATTATAATAATAAAGTTTGTGGAATTACATTTATTCGCAAAGTTTTATTGTATTTTGTTAGTGGAAATGGGTGAAATCGGATTCGTCCCCTAATTTTCCACCCTTAGAGAATATTTTCTTTAAATTTGAATAGGACCACTACTGAGGTATCCCCTTTCCAACAAAAAAGAATCCTTAATATGAGTTCACAAATGATGGAGTTATCGCGTAACAAACACACAAAAAAGTACAGTTGAATTTTGAACCTTTCATTGAATTCATTTAAAAATAAAATTTAAGTGGTTTGTTGATTGAAATAACAAAATAAATTATAACTAGACTTTTGTCACTTGTGTGCTGCAATACAACAAATGACCTAATTAATCTATTTTATTTGCAAAGTTTTTCAGTACCCCGTAAGCAAAAGCTCTGACACAAGGTTGTACGTGTGGGGTTTGGCGGAGACAGGCGCCCTTGGCATTCATCTACCGCGGGGCAAAAGGGGCAAGAAGGCATACAAGAACAACTTTACTCTGGCCTGGCATCCCATGAGGTCTACTTTTGCTGAGCGGTTTGATGTACGACTTGAAATGTTATTGCAAAATTATTTGTTATTTACAAATTATTAAATTTAATCATATAAAAAAATAAGTAAAAGGTTATGCCTTATGCAAAATAAGCTATAACCTATGCTATAGCATGTTTGGTTGCGAAAAGTAGCCCATTGTACCATAGAGTAAAAGTTAATTCAGTTTAAGCAGTTTTACTTTCATCAGAATTTTTAGTTTTGAACCATATTAAAAATTGATCACAAGTCAAAGTCAAGTCACAGGCAAATAATCATTTACTCCATAGGTATAATTTTTACACTTGAAAACATAATTATTTAAGCTACTGCTCCTCCCTACGCTTACCTCCCTGAGAAGAACAAGCAAGAAACTCTAGGGATTGCTCTTTTCAAATAAACTTAAATGCTATAGAATATATTTTAGATCGTATTTGTGTGGAATCTAGACTCACATTGTCTTTCCATACATCTTTAACTAACACATAGTCTACAATTTTGTAATATGACTTTTCAATGTAAGTTTTAAACTTAGGAAATGGTAAACTTATTATATGCTCCGGAATCTTATTGTAAAAACGTATACAGTTCCCCATAAAAGAATTGTTTACCTTTGTTAAACGAAAACGTGGTACCGTGAGTTTAACTGCCTCTATAGCCGAATGGTTACCATTACCGGACTGACAGAGCTCCCAGGTTCGATTCCTGGGCCGGGAGAAATATTTGTATGGCCTACATTTATTTCTCTCTTGAGTTTGGGTGTATTTTGTGGTTGTCTATGTGTGTGTCCATGGCACCCATGATACAGGGTTTCCCTAGTGCAGGGCTATGTTGTGTGCGTTATTATTTTATTATAATTATATTATGCGTTTGGACTAAGTTCTAAGGTTAATATTATTGATATCTTCTTGATTCCAGGTAGCACATGTAGCCTGTGGTTATGGCTTTACCATAGCATCGGTCAAAACAAATGAGCAACACAAAGTGTTTGGCACTGGCATCAATACGGACTCACAGATTGGTTATCATGCACCCAGAATGGGCCACCCATTGGAAATGCTACTTAGCCCTGCTCCTATTTATATTCCTTACAAATCTTTAGAGACTAAGGTGAATAATACTTCAACTATGTTAATTAATATCTACTTACTAAGAGAGCATTCATTCATGCATTCATAACGAGAGATAGAAACAGGCAAAGTGTATTTACCTAAATTTTAAGAAAGTAATAAACATGGACTGGATTACATCTCGTTCTGAAATTTCAGAATTATTGTGTTTTATATTTTTGATCTGTACCTAGCAATTATTGTGATACAGTAGAGTACTTAGAAGAAAAGTTCTAGAATTGCATGTAAATTATAACTGTTTTACACTCATATCCCATATGAAATCAAATACTGTCATAACTCAAAGATTATGGAATAGAGAAAACATGATTCGAAAATTTTAAAAAATGCGGAATGGATCTTATTGCGTATAATGTGATTGTTTTTATTTATACGTTAGTTATCCACTTATAAATGAGAATATAAATTTATTGGCTCCATTCATTAATTTTTTGACATTTCAAATTGTGTTTAATTCCAAGATTTTTTAGTTTATTTATCTTTTTTTTTATATATCTACAATCAGTCGCCAGGCTATAATTAAATTGTTTTTGGCGTAGAGCGAGAAGCCACTGCTTCAGCTGCTCTTATTCATTGAACACGTGTTGTACTTTCCATCTCTTAATGTTGCCACCATCAACCAGTGTTTTAGCAAGAAAGAGGATTCTGATGATCCCTGTGTTTGCTCCTATACAGGTCCATCACTTTAAGAATTGTTGGAATCAGGTATTCGTGGATTTCAGTGTTCCTGGTGTACCATGTGGCATCACTGATATTGGAGAAGGATATTGTTTTGGACTTTTTTGAAGGCATTGGATGTTTGTTTTGGAGGCAGTGGCCCATAACTGAACACATAGCTAAATAATTTTGAGTTGTGACAATATTTGGTTTCAAATGCGATGTATCCTGGTTTGAGTCTTCTATATCTACTCCAAGCGTAGTAAGAACTCCACATCAAACATTGACTTCAATGAGTTTGCTGAATTTCAGGTCATAGGATTAGCTGCCGGTCGAGCGCACACAGTAATATTAACAGATACAGAAGGCGCGTACACTTTAGGTAACAATGCGTATGGACAATGTGGACGTAAGATCAATCCTCACGAGGAGTATCGGGGTAGCATGATATCGCATAACATTCGTAGACTTGGCAAGGAAGAAATTAAGTCTGTGTGCTGTGGTCAGGATCACACGTAAGTTTGATTCGATATTTTTATAGTCAACACTTCATACTTAACTCTTGATATACATGCACTTTGCGCCTTTTCCCCATTAGGGTTGGTAAAGACACTGCCTTCTCTTGCTACAACCCTAACACAAATTGTTCGCCTCTTCGTTTCGTTTTAATATTTATTGGACGTGAATAAAGGTTGCGGTTATCAAGAGCATAGAGCACTAATAAATGATTTAATATTTAATCTGAATTTTATTCATGTTCAACAAATTGTTTTATTTTATTGTGTATGATTTTCCTATTAATGTAACAATGCGACATTCTGCAACTTAATTAATTAAGGCTTATAGTTAAGGTTCCATTTGTTACATTTTCGGTAAAATATGTAATTGTGCATTATGCCAGGTAGGTAGTTGTACCATAAACCAATAACTCAAGGAGACTGCTGGGTAGTGTGTAGATACATACTACCTGGATCGTAACTCAGAAAAAGATCAAAATTCCATCTTATGTCTAGAGGGCGCTGATCAATAGCGTGGAAGTAGTTTATATTAGAAAGGAAGAAATAAAAACGTTTATTCATTAAATTATGTAAATGGCTGTGGATATCATTAATTCCTCTATAATATGAAATATAAGAAGTCAGTTTTTTCCGTGTTCATATTATTCAAATATTGATCTTGAGCTGAAATGTTTTTCTGAACTTTGACAAAAATACGTGTCAATAGATGGCATTGTGTGTTACAAATTACTTCGTAAATTAACGCTCCCCAAGGGCGCGTTCCCATTATGTCGTAACGTTTTATTTATCGTTGGACGACTGTCGCGTCTACCCTGTGGGGTGATTCACGTAATCAAACCGTTACGACATCGTAGAGATTTAGTTGCTGAACTGCCTTTTCGTATTCACGTGTGACTGAAAATATCGTTAAAGCGTATTCTGATATATGAATCCAACTTAAATCGACTCTAAACGACAAGTCATACGTATTCTGCTAAAATTTTGACAGTTCTTTCAATAGACTTTCCACATATGTATTAAAACTTGCATTTCTCACAGTCCTCTCACAATACTCGTTCTACCGTAGTAACACAGCTACAGTAGCCCTTACATTCTGCTAAGCGGAAAACTCGACACTGGCGAAATCTTAAAAAGAAGGAACCGCCATTGAGCAAAACAAAGAAGAAGAAGACTTTCGACGACTTAATGTCAAATGTCACAATCCAAGATGTTCTTTAGTCGTTACGTTTCGATTCTATTCATATCAACGTTCGTTTAAATGATACGTGAATATCCATTTTGGATAGGACGTCGATCGAACGACGACTTACGTGACTGACGCACTGCTGTTCCCATATGACGATTATCTGTCGTGACTGTGTCGTGGAAGTTTATTTATCGTTGAACGACAGTCGTGTCTAGCTGTTTCCACTACATCGTGACGACAATTTATCGGTTCACGGCAGCCGCCTTGTCGTTTACACGACATAATCGTGTGAAGCTGCGATTATCTGTCAACACATTTTTATCTTGACGTTTTATTTATCGTCGGACGACTGTCGTTCTAGCTCTCCCCATTGTCACGGCAGTCTGTCTTCGTAACGTCAAAAAAGTCGTAAACGACAGTTAATAGTGTTATAACATGTGTTTGAGTAACTTTTAATAACGTGTTGTGATGAATTATATTACAAATCGTATTCTGCACTTCAGCCTTCAAAATGAATTCGTTAAAAGATTAAATTTGTGTATCCAAGAAACTGGAGGTCATTTCGAGCAACTAATTAGTTAGATTACCATTTTTTTCGTTTTATTAAAATACGTTAAGATATCATGTTTTTTTTTTTCATTTAATTAACCAATTTTGTTCAAATGTCGGTTTTTGTGCTTATATCAACGGAAGCTTATGGCAAGCGCTTGCCATGTATCCACATGTTTGTGTTAGTTAGTACTGTTTTTTTTTTAATAGGATTTTTGGCTTGGATTATTGTAAACATAGATCAAGCCCAACTTAATATAGCCGACACAAATTCGATGTCCGCCATGCTCGCTTGTCTGAAGCACACCAGTGCGCTCGCAAGCGCGTGGATGCCGACGTTTGTCTCACCTAATTTGCCAAGCTTTTGTAGACCTTTTACAAAAATAGGAACTAAATAGCCGACTCCTCGGTCTTGTATCGCGATATTAGCCGTCCTCTTGTGTTATTGGTCCATGGTTGTACCAAGGGGTCACCACTTAATTATAACAGTCTTCAAACACAACAGTGTATGTATATGAAATTTTCAGTATGTTCGTAACAGAGTCGGGTCGCGTGTATGCGTGTGGATGGGGCGCGGACGGACAGACAGGGTTGGGTACCTTCGACAATACGGGCATCCCATCTCAAGTTAAGGGAGACATCACCACCGAGAAGATTATTAAAATCGCTTCTACTGCCGATTGTGTGCTGGCTTTGAATGGTAAATACTATATTTGGAAAATGAGGAAAAGAGGATAATATAGTTACAAAATTACCGACTCCAATCTGTCTTCTTACTTATTGAAACTGCCTCCGTGGCCGAACGGTTAACATGCTGGTCTGCCACGCAGAGGTCCCTGGTTCGATCCGGGCCGGGAGAAATATATTTGTATAGCCTACATTTATTTCTCTCATGAGTTTGGGTGTAATTTGTGGTTGTCTATGTGCGTATCCGTGGCACTTGCGTTACAGGGTTTTCCTAGTACGGGGCTATGAGTGTGTGCGTTATTTATTTATATTACTTAATGGGGATTGTATTGTGGAGAGCTGTTTTGCCGTAAACATATTATCTTGAAGAGTTTTTGTTACATTATAGTTAATACGGATATTTAATTTATTTAACTGATAATCTGAAAGTCAGACTGTTAGCTGCCACTGCAACTTTCATATTTAATATGTTAATCTAAATATAATTTTAAATTGGTCCTTTCCAGAAAAAGGCGAGCTGTTCGGTTGGGGCAATTCGGAATACGGGCAAGTGCCGATGGCGTCGAAACAGCAACAAGTGAACATGTCGTACTCGCTGCTTAATTTCACACGCGGCCTTGGTCGAATAATTGACATTGCAGCAGGAGGCTCTTTTTGTTTGATTGTTAATGGTATGTAGATATTTCCTTTGATTTTTAAAAAGTATTGATAAATTCGTATCGTATTGATAAAAGTATCAATACTTTGATAAATAATTTTTTTTTTATCTTTTGAATCAAAATCTTAAGAATCAAAAATTTTAAATTTACTACATTATCAATATAAAATATTTGGGGACAGCACAATACTCATTTCGGTTTTAAGCTAAAGCCGGATTTACATTTGTCTGACATGTCGTGTCGTGACGCGTTAGAACGGTATCGGTGTCATACACAGACATATATCTAGATAGACGCCGCAAGTACAGCAATTTGTATGAAAACCAAGCGTGCCGCATTTTTTGTACCCACTATGACGTCACAAGAACAATTTAGTGATGAAACCTCCTTCCGCTCGCTCTAAATCGATTGAATGGAATACGCGTAAACACGCATATTCCATTCAATTTTAATCGATTCTAAGTTCAATAATTTTTGTTCAAGTATTTGTTGATTACAAGTAGTCGTAATATTAATATAGTAGAAAAATACTAGGACAAGATAGTTAAGTCCTTTATTTTACTTGTTTATAAAAAATGTTGATTACTTAAAAAAAATGAGATTTTAATTTTTAATCGATTTCAAATATTAAAATTATTGTCCTTCCAATAAAATGAGCTTATTTGTATAACATCTTTTTGTAATAGAAGATCTTATCCATGAACTTAATAATGAAAGCGCACGTTAATATAATTATGAACTTGCGACTGCCTTAATTAATTTTACTAGATGGTTTTCTGTTGGTAATTGATCAAACTGATGAATGGCAAGACAAATGAAAATATTACTGCTGGCAAAATATATTAAAATCTTATTAATCAGAACAAGTTTACTTAATGAAGGCCTCATGTGAAATTTTTGTGATTTGTTTATTATTTATCGGATTTCTAACTCTGCTACTCTGCATATTTGGATAGCATTTTAGGTGGGATAAACTAGACCATCTTCGTCCTCGAAAGCAACGAACTCATACGTATGACTAACTCCAGGTTATTGTAAAGACAGCGCACTGTTAATTCTTTGCATTATATATTTTTTTGTATTATGTAATTATTTGCTCACTATATTCGGACATTCGAGGCAATGTGCTGCAAAAAATATCGAAATTACAGATACCTACAACTGATAATAGATACTACAAAACTGAAAAAAAAAAAACGAAACGTTGCTAAACGTTATAACAAAAGAGTTAAAGAATATTTTTATAATATTGCTAAGGTCATAATAATTTTCGTCCCTTTGTTCAAAATCGATCAGAATCGAGAACAGTGTTGCCTAACGTATACATCACTAAATGTTAAATTTGGCCAAAGTGTACAAGCGGCCGTACCACGAAACGGAATGCATTATACAAAAAGTGCGTTCGTTCGATTTTCATGGCGTATTAACAAAGGATCACTAATATATCGCTCCAAGTAAAAGCCGCAACGTATTACAAATCATGAGGCATACCCTCGGTTGCATATTTGTTTTCTCGAAATTCATACAAGACCAAAATAATTGTTTTTAAAATAAATTATGCGTCCTCTGATTAGAAAATCACTTGCCCGTGAAAGGAAATGTCCCTGTTTACCCAGTTATGGTGTTTTTGCAGTTTATTATGGAACAATTATGCATTTTTCGCGTTTTCGACTAGTGTTTATCTTCGAGCGCGTTCTGAAGTGTAGCAGCGGCAAGCAAGTGAATGTCACTTACTTTGGGCACGCGAACCACGTACACTTACGGCGTCTATCTAGATGTATGTCTGTGGTGTCATACATCCAACATAAGCCATCACATAGATTACGACACACTAATATAAATATATACTGAATGAACCCTGGTAGGGTACCGCAACATAATAAACATTCAAATTATTTAATTATTCTAAACAAAAAATCTAATATAAAATTTAATAAACAAAATCAAACTAAAATTAAACATTCAAATGAAACAACATTAATTAACTTTATATTATCATATTGATTATTAATTACATTTTATGTACTATACATATTTTTAGTTAATTTATTGGTGTCCTTTGTTTATTATTATATATATATCAAACCATTTTATTTTAAAAATATATATAATAATATTTCGAATTTCATTTCAAGTCATTTGTTAAAATGTTTTTTTACAGAGCATGGCGATGTTTTCGTCTGGGGCTTCGGACTTCTAGGTCTCGGTCCAAATGTCCATCATTCACCGAAACCAAAACAAATACCAGCACCTCTTTTCGGTCGTAATGAGTTTAACCCTGACAGCATGGTTGTGAAAGTTGCCTGTGGTATTGGACATTTAGCAGCCATTACAAATGGAGGAGATCTTTACATGTGGGGGCGTAATAGATGCGGTTGTCTTGGGTTAGGACATACGAAAGATCAACAATTTCCTTTGAAAGTAGCAGTTGGTGCTCATGTATTGAATGTTGTGTGTAGTGTGGATCATACTATAGCACTGTGCAAACCGTTCATGTGATGTTGCTAAGAAGGTTATATTAAGACTGTTAGTAATATAATTTTGTTGTATTACACTTTGTTTTATTTCATAAACTTAATCTTAAGTATATTGTCAGATATTATGTTTTAAACAGGAATTTAACATGTACATTGTACGTGGCACAAAAAAAATAATTAAGTAGAATGTTTATTATATGATGTTTATTACATCATGTAAAGTGCCAGATAGTTACATGATCCCATGGCCACGTCTCAAACTAGGGTATTTCCTGTACTATGTACTTACTACTAAAAGCTAAGGAATTCAGTCAGGGACACTACTCAGAACACCCAGACCAAAACCAATTGAGAAAAGCTTATTTTTTCTAATTGGTCCTACTGGAAATTGAACTTCTGCTTATACAATCAAGTCACCCAAGGTCATCATAATTTTATTTGTCACTAAGTACAGACAGCAGCACATCACAAAAAATAATTTTATAAAATTTGACCTACTTCTACTAATCCCGATGTCTTTCGTCCCAGACAATGAAATTACAATTATATTTTTTTCATTTTGTATGAAAAATATTTTATGGAATTTGACTAACTTCTGCTGTCCCGATTTTCGTCCCCTGAAATGATCCTTACATAAAACTGAGTCAATCAGCACTAAAATGAAATTATATTAATTTTATTCAATTTTATGGACAACTCACCCTTGACTAAAAAACTTGTTGTTAATGAAAAAGACTTAATAGTTCCTAACACAGTTTCCTTGTATCTCCTATGGTTTGGATTTCCCCAATCTATCCCATTTAAAAAAACACTGTATATTAACAGATCTTGTTCCATTGCACTAGAGGCAATACTACAAAAAGTGTACAGCTTGATTGACTGTACAAAATATTTTTAAGTCTTTCAATAAGGCTTAATTTATATTGCGATGGAATGAAAGCAAAGAACTTTATGGTCAATTGTGTAATGTACAAACTAGATACGAGCTAAAATCTTCTGCGGAATGCATGAGAATTCTGCTGCAATACAAATTGAGCCTAAACTATAATATACTGACTAAGCTTTCATAGAAGAAATAATAGTTATAAGCTTTCATGGTAATACACAAACAAGTTGAATGACCTAGTTACCCATGTCACTACTAATTTTGTTAAATAAATGGAACAAATAAGAAATTAAAATTACAATAATACATTCAGGTCTCTCACATTACAAAATGCACCTAATAATAAATTTTAGATAAATTACACAAGTCTCTAAACACATCACCTATATTGTAGAAGAAAGAATGAACAGTAAGTCTACTCTTGCCCATTAAATAACCATTAGGAGACTATTGCTTGCATTCATCGTGGAAGGGTTCTAATGTCCGAAAATCGCGCCAGGCAGGGGGCAGGAGAGACGTGTGATGAAGATGGCAGCTGCACCTTTTGCATGGCTCACTAAAAAGATTCACATAGCTGTGCAACCAGGTCATAAAAGACCGTACCGCTAATTCTGGTAATGTTGGTGAGTAAAAATGCAACATCGCTGCGTGTGCATTTTCAGTTACTTTTCTAAATACATGATGTCTAGACTCGCTCCAGAGGTCTAAGGTTTCTCCATATCCTTTAACCATCACCCAATCCATTAATAACCCCTTAAATGCAACTACAGCTTTTAAAACATGGCTTAAATTGATGTGGACAATAGCATTACTCGCAAACGGACGTGAAATGGTTATTTTCATGTCATTATATGACCGGTCAATGTTATTTATCACATTATCAACTTGTAATGGTGCCACATTATGATTGCTTTGAAGTTTCCCGCGTCTTTTGCCGCTTCCTGAGTTTATATATGAACGTTTAAGGGAATTCTGGCTCAATAACGTATGGGCAAATGAGCTGTATTCGTGAATCTTGTCTGTCCATTTGTAGCTGTTGACTAGTTGCGTGTACAACGCTTGGCGGTCTTGTGTAGTCTCTTGGCTGAGGTAAGTCGTGTTGCCGAGGTTGAACGGGGCTGTGGGAATCGGTATGGTATTTACCGTCTGTTCCAAGTCACGTAGGTTTACGTTCACATTGTTGAGAAGTTCTTGGAGTTCTAAGAGGAATTTGTCCTTGCCATCTTCCCCGTGATCAGCTCGTAATCCATTAGAAAGAGTCTCAAAGACGTTGCTAACACTCGAGCGTAAAGTTCTTAAAGAGTTTAGAGCGATATGCAACTGCTCCACATTGATGGTTTGGCTCATGGCCGGTTGCATTTGATTCATTTTGTGCATAAACACGTTTTCACTTTAGAGCATTAATTAAAACAATTAATGGTTTTACAAGTACGAACGGTTTTTAGTACACAAACAAGCACTAAAAATGACTGTACTTAAAAAACCACCACTCTAAAAAATGATCAAGCCGAACGCCCGAACGCCTCTAAATGTCATTTCATTTTGGCATTTGAACTTAATTTGTTGAATTATAGCGAAAGACAGAACAACAAGATCAAATTTCTTCGTAGGTTTTTCTCTTTTTTTGGTTACTGCATTTAGAAAATCGTTCAATAAAAACGCGACGCATTTATACGGTCCGTTTCACGCTTTGAATATGTGTTTTGTACAGGGTACTAGGTTAAAAGCAAGTCAAGCTTGACATATAAGATTTAAATTTATATTTAAAAATATTATTTTTTATTTATATTTTTCATAGCACGCGTATCCATTTAAATTTAACTCTATTTCGCTACATAATAAGAACGGTTTAAAGTGCAGTTTCAAATTTGGTGTGCTTTATACCACGGGTACGTCAAGAGCACGTCAAGCTTGACACTTTGTACTTTGGACCGTTCTTATCGTAAGCGGCATAGAGTTGGATTTAAATCTTAAGTATCAAGCTTGACGTCCTCTTGACCCTGTACCACAAAAATAGATTGTGAAAGAATGCCAAAAATGTCTGATCACAAGTCAGACATTTTTGAAATGTGAATGTTACGATGTATATCGAATATAGAAAGATGTAGATAGGTCTGGTCAAGGTTACTTTAAAAAAAGAATACGAGATCCATGTTAACATTTCACAAATTTAAATATTAAATCTATTGTGAACAAATTGTGGAACAGAATATATATACGACCTCGGTGATCAATGAAAAGAAAAAGGTTTGTACTGTGGGCGCAGGATGAGCAGGTCACGGGTTCGATATTTGATGGGATTTGGAAAGTTAATTTTAATAAATTGGTCCCGGTCTGGGTGTTCGGGTAGTGAGTGAGTGGTGAGTTTCGTTGCTCTGGTACGCACAGTGGGAATTCCCTAGTTTGATATCTAGTAATTGGTGTTATTATTGTTACATTATACTATTTCTGGTTCTATTAACTGTTATTTTAGGTTGTTTTTACCTTTAGTATTTTAACGTCATTTTTGTGAACGATAAGTTATAGAATTATACAAATATCTGCTACAAACAAAATAAAGACATTTTAAATTTTGTATTGAAGTTCTATTTTATATCGGACGTAGACGTATGTAAATGTTTGTTTGTTGTAAATGTCGAATATTAACTATAATATATAGAATATAATATGTCGAAAACTTTTGAGCAGTGTCTTAGAATTTTTTGTATACTAGCAAACAAGTGAGTTGTAAGTAAATGCCTCAGTGGCCGAACGGTTACCATGCCGGTTGGCCGCGCAACGGTTCCGGGTTCGATTCCCGTGCGGAGAGAAATATTTGTATGGCCTACATTTATTTCTTTCGTGAGTTTGGGTGTAATTTGTGGTTGTCTATGTGTGTGTCCATGGCACCCGCGACACAGAGTTTGGCTAGTGCGGGGATATGACTGTGTGTTATGTCTGTGTATTATGACGCGTTATTATTATTAAATAAGTATCATTAAACAGGTTGTATTATTATCTGACCGATAATGGTCTTATATACATTATATAGCGTAAAAAAGCTGTACCCTTTAATTAAGGTTTTATTTCTGCGCAACTAAAAAAAAAAGACAAAACGGTTTGTGTACAGCCAACTAACTTTATCTCTGTCTTTGTGTAGTATTTGTTGAGTATGATATGAGTGTTACTGTTGAGTATCGTCTTGTATATTAAAGCTAGCTATAGATGAAATGGTAAGGGAAAGCTGTAACCTATCACAAACAACCCTACGTTCCTACCTAACAGCCTAGCCCTAACCATACACTATTATGTGTATATATACGTATATAGATAGGTAGAGGAAGCCTGTTACCACACGACCTAAGGTAACACACGGAAGGTGGGAAGGATAAGGGGTACAAAGAGTGGATTTTCTCACGGCTAGTCTGTCAGATAAGCTGACGGCTAAAGGTGAGAGGATGCTGTAGTCAGGAGAGTTCCGTCGTCGTCAATGAGACAGCGTTGATGTCTGGATTCAAAGAGAGATCCTTATTTCTAAAAACCAGACTATTTATACAAATTCTATTTACATGTGTGCGTGTATATCTACAACATAATTTTTAAATGTAAAACAAAGGAAATATGTACTCAGCAGGCTGGTCTCGCACATTGCTATTCGGTCAGTGCACTGCTGAGTAGTCTATTATCATCGCGTGGTAATTTATGTCTGGTCAGGTTGTCTGTTCATGTCACGTGGACGTGAACGGTTTGAATAAGTATATATCAAATTTCTTATGGTTTGTATGAGACATATGTATACGACTGGGTACAGTAGGAATTTCATTTAATACAGTAAAAAGAATTGTATGTTCATTTTAAAAATACCCGAGTTTATTGTATTGTTAGAAATGAATTGAAATACCAGTCGAGGGTATGTCGCAATCATCTGCAGAAATGTGGTTTCCCAGAGATCATATGAAATTCTTTTATTTAAGTCTCTGCACGGGGCAAGGGTAACGCGACTGTTATGTACGATTTAATAAAGACATACAAGATTTTTAGTAGAATACGAATGGATTTGTTACGTTTTGTTCACGCAGTTTAACTGAAAAACAATATATTATTAAGAACGACGGCCTCCGTGGTCGAGTGGCTGGCACACCGGTTTTCATGATGTTGCCATCTCTGATATCCCGGGTTCGATCCCCGGCCAGGTCTGTGTAGAAAACTAACTTTTCTATATTGTCTCGGGTCTGGGTGTTTCTGGTACCGTCGTTATTTCAAATTTCTATAACACAAGTGCTTTAGCTACTTAATTTCGGATCAGAGCAACGTATGTAATGTTGTCTGATATTTATTATTTATTGACATTTTTTGTGAAATAGCTCCACTAATTGTGTTATGATTTATTAATACAACGATCGAACACATAGAAAAGTTTCTTCGACCACCGGGTGGGAAAAACAATATGTTTTGTATATTTTTCACAACCTACCAATTTTTTTATTTTCGACCATTCGCGGTCCGATCTTTCTTTTTTTTTTTTTTTTTTTATAATGACTCGGCAAAATGACTGCACCGCGCCTGATGGAAAGTGCGAATACAGTCCAGAGATGAGAGTAACGGATGGAAAACACAAGTATCTTCACTCCGTCACTATCATTTTGCCGGTCTGGCCAAATGCTTCTTCACACTACGTTTGAAGGACCCGATGTTATAGAGGGGAGGGAATACATGCGCCGGGAGTTGGTTCCACAATTTGATGGTTCGGCATAAAAACGAATTGCCAAACTTTTTAGTGCGGGACGGTATTGAACTGACCGTCCATCTGTGGCAACGCAGTCCGGCACGGGTGGTCCGCTGATGGAAAGGAGAGGAAGGGATAAGGTTGAATAACTCTTCAGAGCACTCACCGTGGTACAGGCGATAGAATACGCTAAGAGACGCTATATCTCTGCGAAGCTGTAACGACTCCGCATGCTCAGTTACATGAGGATCGTTGACAACACGGAAGGCGTAGCGCTGCAGTCCATCTAGGGCATCGAGCAAGTACTTGGCAGAGCCGTCCCAAAGGTGCGAACAGTACTCCATGCTGCTTCGGACCTGAGCTTTATACAACAGGTATCGCAGCTCTGGAGTAAAAAATCGGTGCACCTTGTTCAGGATGCCAAGCTTGCGCGACGCGATACAGATGACGCTCTCGATATAATCTTTGTTGCTCATGTCCTTCCGGATGCTCATCCCCAGCAGGCTGAGCTTGTCCTGCAGCGTCAGCGTTGTACCCTGAAGATGGGGAAGTGGAAGGAATGGGGATTTTTTGGAGCTGAACGCGCATACCTGGGTTTTCTTGGCGTTGAACTCAACCAAGTTTCGGGAGCCCCACGACGATATATGTTCCAAAACATGGTTGAGCTCATCGACAAGTTTTTCCCGGTTTCTCTCAGGGTCCTCCCGGGTGCTTGACGATTGCTTATAATAGCAACCGTGCACTGTGCTATCATCTGCATAGCAATGAATGTTGCCAAAAGGCAACAAGTCATTGATATGCAGAAGGAACAGCGTGGGCGACAGCACGGAGCCCTGTGGCACCCCAGCATTAACTGTCACGAGCCGCGAAGTGCCTCCGTCAACAAGGACACGCAATCTTCGCTCGCGCAGAAAGCCGGAGATCCACTCACAAAGGCGGCCGGGAAGACCATATGCCGGAAGCTTGGAGAGGAGACCACGGTGCCAGACCCGATCAAAGGCCTTAGCAATATCCAGACTTATCGCTAAGGTTTCGCCCTGTTTGTCGATAGCTTCACCCCAGAGATGCATTAGATACGCTAGAACGTCACCCGTTGATCGGTTCGGCCGAAACCCGTACTGTCGATCATTAAGAATGGAGTGACGTTCCAGGTGCCGGATTATCTGGATATTTAGAATCCGCTCCATCACTTTGCAGAGCACTGAAGTGACAGCTATTGGGCGATAGTTTGTCGGATCAGACCGATCTCCTTTCTTGGGGATAGGTTGCACGTTGGCCTCCCTCCAAGCTAGGGGCACGTTACCAGATTGGTATGAGAGGCGGTATAAGCGCGTCAGTACGGGAGACAACTCCGCCGCACACCTTTTAAGGACGATAGGAGGTATCCCATCCGGACCATAGGCTTTCCGCACGTCAAGAGTCTGCAATTCCTTGCGGATATCACATTGTCTGATAACTATATCAGGCATTGTGACTCCGCAGTGGGGAATTGACGGCGGTTGCGCATCTTGGTCGTGAATGCGCGAGTTAGCCCCAAAAAGGTCGGCCAATAAATTGGCTTTCTCTTCGGGGCCATAGGCCAAAAATCCATTGGGATACCTCAAAGGCGGCAGCGACGAACGACAAAAATTGGACTGCACAGCTTTGGCCAGGCTCCAGTAGGCACGGCTACCGGTGGGATGGGCTACCAGCTTCTGGCCAATCCGTGAAACGCGCTGGGCATCCGC